GCTGTACGATGATGATGATGGAGTGTAGATCCAACGCGGGAGCATGACCGAAGCATCCCTGCAGGAGATTCTGAGACCTGTAATAAAAAGCCTTTTAATTTCGGTTAAGTGTGTGGACTGACGGTCCACTGTTTGGGACCGACCCTTAGCCTCATACGCCCAATGAGTCAAAAGGAACTTGGACGAGAAAGCACTTTGTTGGCTGTGGGCTGCCTAGCCTGGTCTCGTGTATACTTGCTTGATTCACCTTTCTAGTGGCGAGAGTGGATATTCAAAGGAAGTCAGGGACCCAACAGACACTAAATCGGCAACATGTTCGTTTATCGGATCAGATCGCATGTGGTGAAAACTATTTAAGTCCGGTTAGTGAAAACAGTAGAGTCAACCACCGTTCGTCTAATCGAGTTTGTAAGTCGATCCGAACTTCCTGGACTAAAAGTGAATTATGCGGCCTAATGACTCGCTCGATTTAAACTGTCTATTGTCATTCAATTGGACGTAATTTTTTATTACACACTTTCGTGTGATGAACAGCAGACGGGGCCAAACCCATAGTCACGAGGCTCTGCTGTTTGGTGATGGAAACCGGTAACCTAAGCCCTGGATTTGGAGTGGTGAACCACTCGGTCGTTAGACAAACCAAAACTGGTGAACAAAATCAAATACCGATTTCTGCGAAAATTGAGGTCGACACATCACTACCTAGCGTTTTGACCTCAGCCTCAGACGCTCGCTTGTCACCAAGCTTCAAACAATACCTGAACTAAGGCAGCGTGATGAACTCCATGGCCAAGACCATGCATACTGAACACAGTAATAGTACGTGAGTTATCGTGGGATTTTTATTACACTTTCGTAGGATGAACGGCAAACAAGGTAAACCCCATAGTCACGAGGACCTGCTGTTCAGTGATTTCCGTTGCTTATCTTGTCCCTGCCGATTTTGAGCCTTTCATTTACCCTGTGCTAAATCCGGTAAAACTTGATCGTTTGCGTTTACACAATCCCCGTTACTAGCACCATTTAGGCAGTCTTCAATCCAGGGTTGTGAAGCAGATTCTGGAGATAATATGACTAACAAGCTGAGAGCAAACGAACGTTTCGTCTGCTATAAAACACTTAGCTTTACCTCGTACAAACTGGATCGCTGATTCCGTAGCAAAACATACTGTTCGTGTAATGTCTTCTGTTGAGATTACCGATTCACCTATAACAGTCTCATTTGATCGTCATGGGTCGCCACCCAAGTGGCGTTACACTGCCCGCCTTTTCTGATAACGAGGTCTTCCATCTCTAACTTTGTAAAAGTAGTTAACCTGACACGCTAGGTCGCACCCGTCTTGGTACTGCAACAATGAATCAGATAACTGTCAGTATCGCTTTACTTTACAATCCTGCATTTAGAAATATAACTTGACGTCAAACAGCAATCGACCCTCTCGAACCAAAACCATTCAATAATCACGACGAACACTGAGCTGGGTATCTTGAAAGCTGTACACTGCCATGAAAACAGTGCACCACTGATATAACTGCAGAGTCTTACCCAGCGAATTTACTAGTCGCGCGATCTCGGTCAGAACTGGTAAGACAACTTTCAGCGAATTCTGTCGGTTTTTATGGAGTGGTCATGCTTTCATTATTCCAGTTAACGTCTTTCGCACACCATTTTCTACTTAAGCCTGCGTCGGTGTACCCTATACTGTACACCACCCAACATGAAAAAATGTTGCAATATTCATCCGACAGCAAGCAATCTATATTGGTTCCCTTTGGTCTTCCCCCAACGTACGACGCGTTTCGAAAACAAGGAACGAACGTAAAAACAGTGCACCAACGAACGCACGAGTAAAAGTGTGAGCAACACCACCCACATGCACTCCGACGATCGGGTTAAATCAAATATTTATGGTTTGTAGAGACATTGACCTGAAACAGCGATGCACCCAACCCACTCTCGCTGAAACGAAATCCACGCCTGCTCTCAAAAAGCCACCAGCTATCTTCCACATACCGCTCATATTGCATTTGATTCAGATCAGCGTGCGGATACATACGTGCCGAGTACCTCCCTCAACTCGATCTTTCATGCCGGGACATCCAATCTATGATGGGAGGTTTGGTTTAGCTTCTACTTCGCTCCTTAAATAGTAGTGACTCCTCGCTCCCGGAAAGGTTCTGACAGTAGTCAGACTTTTGGTTATTCTGAATTTGTGTTCACATCCCTCGAGTTTTGTTGATCTACCTTCAAACTTACCACCGATCCGAAACACAGGATTATCTCTCAGGGTATACTTCCGTTTCCCACTGTTCGTGTTTGCTAAAATACGATACCTTGGGTGTTGCGACCATCCCTGTCATCACGTCGGACCCTTGAAACAAAACGCTCCGCGCTATACGAAGTCTGCGGACTTTGAGTTTGTGCAAAAGCGAGACCGAGAACATAAAAACATCAGACTCGTTGTCAAGCGGAAAATTAGTCCGAACATTTTGAGCCTTCGCAAACTGCACAATGCATAGACCTCCATCCCCCGAATCTTAAGCGTTCCTCACGCTCGAGAAACCACAGACCCCAAATTACAACGTAGCACTCTTGTTTACCCCAGTCTTGCTACCAACCACATTGTTCTCCTTTTTTCAAGTGACAAGCCCATTAGCATGTAGTTGTTAGACAGACGCCATAGGTGTCCCACTAGTGTGCAGGTACGCGAACCAGGTTAATCCGTCGCTTTTAGCCCGTCTAGTTGAATCACAGAAGAAAAAGATGAATTGTTCTATCCCTAATCCAAATCGCACTGGAAAAGCTTGCTAAACGGAAAGATCGCATGTTCAGGCTGGTATCCTCGAACCATGTAGTCAACCGCATGAAGGATACTTCATTTCGGCTTTAGTGCCATCATTGGACATCTCGGATATAATAAAGCCAACTATCCGAGGGAAATACCGGGTAGTTAACAAAACAGAGACTTTGGTGGCATAATGATAATGTTAGCTTGGCCCGGACATGAGATCTCTCGTGACGAATCCCGCACTTTGCAACCTATCATACGCCGTCACTTACGAAACCGGAAATCTGAGTTGCACCGAAGTTACTCAGCATTGAGAAATCACATCGAACTGCCTTGCTCGCTTTTGACTTCCGAGACCCAGCTCATTGGAAAATCAAACCGTTATGCCTACCACTGAATTCTTTCCCTCTTTTGTCATGATCTATCGACGTCGAGCTTGACTTCCACTGAGTGGGACAACTTGCAAGTATATTCGTCTGTGCTGTTCCTCACAGCTCCGACGTTGAATGTGCAAGCGCATAAACGAACGGCGATCTCCGGAACAAACCACTGATTCACATGTGTATTAGTCTACAGAACAGATAACCAACAGGAAAACACTGTAGCCAGCTCATTGTGGAGCAACACTGAAAACACTAGACCGTATACCGTAGTCATGAAGAACTCGAAGATCAAGAGTTTCAACCGAATCAGATAAATCAGTGGAATCCAGGGAGGCCTGAACTTCCATGATAACCAACAGTAATATGATAAACGAACCATGTAGTGGGTGCCTGCAGCTCGTATTAATCAAGCCATTTGTACTCGTGAAAGGATTCTCAGAATGTTCCGACCTAAATTGAAACCACTAGCGGAGCACAATTCTCTTTACCACAACCGAAGTAACTGATGACCAGTATTAAGAACAGCAGACGAGTACAATCACTTGGATCCTGAAGTATGACGTACGATCAAAGATCACACACCATTACGACTGCGAACAAGTGAAATACGAACGCTAGAGGTAGTTGAATGTCTGTAAAGTTTTTCAAACACCCGAAGCAGTCAAAATAGTTCTAATTCCGATCACGACCACAAAGCTGACGCGCTAACCAGCAAAGTCAACGGTACACGGCCCTGTAAATTAGTGCAAGGCGGAGACGACTGGGACGAGAAAACGTGTACAACTACAAGAATTCGGTGGTAGGGGTCAACACGTAACTTGCTACTGAAGGAACTCTGGACGCTCGATTGGCCGTGGCTATCTCAGGTCCTGTGCAGACTGACTGACACCATTAGCCGCAACAAGTACTGTGCACCCACCTGTTCGTAGAATGCACGAATTCCAAGATTACAGCAATCGAATATAACCTTAAAGGAACGGATAAATTGCAACTTGAACCCGTTCTTAGAGACAAGTCTACCCCTTCCTACCAAAATGAAATCAAGCCCTGGATTAAAATAACCATGAACGGATCCAAAAACGCCGAACTGAGAATTTCGGAAAGCTGAGACAGCTGGGTGAGAAGGCGACTAAAAATGATGCTCGAACCAAATAACAAAACCAAAACAACCAACATCCTTAGAAATATGTATTTACATATATTCACGCCTTTTTCGGTTTTGCAGCGGGAGGAGCAGTCGGTTTTAGGTTCAGCAACAACGCACTGGCGCGCCTCAAAGCGAGCTGCAATGAATAATTAGCAATTACCAGCCAAAACGCGACTCACCATTTTCAACTCACGCCGATACTTTTGGCGACAAATGTGATTCCTTATCTTCTGGAGAGCACGTCGACGACCACGAACCAAGTTAGTGCGAACGACGGCCTTTGCCGGTTTGTGGTCATAACCAACGCGTTTCGTGATCATTACAACACCTTTGCCATACTTCTCAGGCTTAACGCCGATTGCTTTCTTGTGCACGAGTCCACTGTACATGAAGCAATTTTTGCCCTTGAGGTTAAGCGGGTCGCGGCTGAATTGCTCACCACCTCGTTTCATCAAGAAACAGTTATTCTTCTTGACTAGATCCCATATAAGATGACTCGCCATGCTTCAATAAATCCGCAACGCGAGCTCGTGACCGAACCGCCAAAACTACTTTACTGACTTAAACAAAAAGGAACGTCAGGTTTTTCACGGGGATTGACAGGACAGGACAGGACAGGACAGATCACAGGACTTGCGGCGGAGCCAGAAGCAGTCAAGTTTC